GCAGAATTCTGTGTGTAGGGCTTCTGTTGGATGTCTGTCCCATCTAGTGTAGCTCTGATCACTGAGTGGACCCCAAACCTCACTTCCATACAGCGCTATGGGCTGAATCACACTATCAAAGATTTTACACCAAATTGGAAGCGGTATTTCAATATTTTGGATTTTTTTTCTTGATTGCGTATAGAGCTCTTCGAGCTTTATCTTTGAGAGCATTCACTGCCAAAATGAAACTCCCCGATGCAGTGACGATCAGGCCGAGGTAAGTGTACTGCATCGTGTGTTCTAGGCCGGTGCTGCCTAGACTGAACTGGTATCTGTGTTCCTGACATCTGGGCTTTTTCTGAAAGACCATAATGCTGGTCTATTTGAGGTTTACTGCCAGGGCCCAGTCCCTGTGAGGTTGGTGACTGCAGTACCAGATCATCTCATGTTTTTGTCTTGTAGATTTTGTAACTCGCTTACCGTAAATATATATAAACTTAATTTTTGATTAGTAATATGCATTGCTAAAAACTTCATTTGGACAACTTTAAAAGCGATTTTCTCAATATTTAGATTATTTTGCACCCTCAGATTCCAGATTTTCAAATAGTTGTATCCAAATAGTGTCCTCCTATCCTAACAAACCATACATCAATGGAAAGCTTATTTATTCAGCTTTTTTAGATGATGTATAAATCTCAATTTCAAAAAAATTTACCCTTATGACTGGTTTTGTGGTCCAGGGTCACAAGTGTTGAACGCAACAAAACCATCTAAAACAGTCATAAGAACACTGACAGGATGTTTCCAGCATGGTCAAGTTTGTGCAATATGTGCACACAAATATGTGACCCGCGGCGTTTCTAAGCAGTTATTGTTGAAGTGTGCAAACTTATAAACTTGAAATGAACCGGTCAAAACCAGAGCTTTGAAGTTCATGTAAATAATAGATCTCATAAATCGGGTTTGTCTTTGAAATTGTCTTCATAGAAATAATAGCAGTGGACTGAAATAGACCGTTCTGAGAATTCAGATTGATCTTATAGCTTAATAAAACTGAATTCGTAGAATAAAGTCACCTATGCGAATGAAATGAGAGCAAACACACAGCCAGAGGCCTTTACATGCTCACACTAATATGTGATGCATCACTAGCTGTGAAATTTGTAGTTCAGATAACAGATATGTTATATGTATATATATGTACATATATATATTATGTGTATATATGTTATATGTTGCTCTGCTATTAAAGATGTGGTGACTGCATCTGGTGCATTGTAAAGATGCTTTCTAAAGTGTCGGAATAGCTTGAATTTAGTTACATTGTAAATCTTTCTGTACTGTTTAGCATCAAAACAAGACTAGCAACTGTTTGGAACCCAATGCTTTTAAGTTATATAATATTGTAAAGAAGTATTGCCCTCGCACTTGACTGGAATGCGGAGATTTTCAAGAATTTGGCTCTCGTTTGCAGACATTTGTGGGTGAAACAAGCAAATCAAGGATGGAGCAAATCTGTTATAATTTCTTTCACCCTATAAAAGCCTACTGTATCATATTTGATAGGCCTCTAAATGATCTAAACGATCAAAAACATGTTGCACACAATCTACCGCACTCACAGTTTAGACTTTTTTAGCAAGTAAAATGTGTAATTGTACAAACGTCCACCTTCAGCTCGAGCTTCACGTGTCTTTTTGCTGTCAAATCTTTACTGATTTTTATCACACAAACATAAGAATAACTAGTAATATTTCCAGATGAACACTTACTGGACCGAAGCAGCTTGGCTTTACTTGATTATCCAGACATCATTATTTTAGCCTTAAATCTGATCGTCAGGCTTTTGAGAAACGTTTATTTGTTCATCTCTCAATCATTATTGTATTGCATTGCATAATATGTTTTGAAATTAAAATAAGCATTAAATATGATCGTATTAGGACATATTATTGGAGCTACAGAGTGACAACTGATATTTATATGCATTTTAGGTAAGTATCTGCTGTACTGTGTTATAAAGATCTCATTGATTTACATTACAAGCATCAGTATTGCATTACATTTTGTCCATATAAATATCAGCATCTGCAGCAAATTGCATATTTTTGCTCACTTTGGGCTTCTGAAAAAAACTGAGCTGTTTTTCCTCCTTATTCTCACTATACCAGACAATATGAGCCATAAAAGCCTGATGAATCAAATATGATACTCAACAAAAAACACACGCAAACTTTTTTTACAAATATATTTTTTTGTACTATTTCCTATATCAAGCTTTACAGGGTTAATACAGCAGTGGAAATGCAAAAAAAATATTTTCTTTACTAGATTGGTTGAGTTACTTGTATTAGTTGCTTGTAGAATATAATGAAAGATCACATCAGTGTCGGTTATATTGATGAAAGAACGGGATGTCTTGTCAAAAAGCAGCACATGTTGTTCATGAACATTGTCTTATGAGGTCGACACTTTAAGTGTTTTAGTGTTTCTGGTACCTTGAGAGACAGTGTTGGCCAATACAAGAGCGCATGCTAAGCATTAATGCTCAAACAGAGTCACATGAGAGAGACGGAGACCGCCCTTCACTGTGTGATTGTGATGCTGTCCATCAAGGGCTCTTGCCTCATCTTTTCATTTCACTGGCAGGACTTTGTGTTTCGCTTTTACGGTCATGACACGCTGAAACACTTCCAGACTCTTCAAGTAAAGCAAGTGAATGGGAAAGTTCAAAGCACACGGCCAGTAAGAGAGCCCAAGGATTTCATACAGCCTTTATGCCTATTATTGTGCAATCTGAATTTATGTTCTTGATGGCAATTAAAATGATTTCTTTTATTCAGCAAGGATGCATTAAAATGATCCAGAGTGACGGTAAAGACATTTATAATGTTACAAAAGATTTCTATTTCAAATAAACACTGTTCTTATAAACTTTCTATTGAAATTGTCTTCATAGAAATAATAGCAGTGGACTGAAATAGACCGTTCTGAGAATTCAGATTGATCTTATAGCTTAATAAAACTGAATTCGTAGAATAAAGTCACCTATGCGAATGAAATGAGAGCAAACACACAGCCAGAGGCCTTTACATGCTCACACTAATATGTGATGCATCACTAGCTGTGAAATTTGTAGTTCAGATAACAGATATGTTATATGTATATATATGTACATATATATATATATATTATGTGTATATATGTTATATGTTGCTCTGCTATTAAAGATGTGGTGACTGCATCTGGTGCATTGTAAAGATGCTTTCTAAAGTGTCGAATAGCTTGAATTTAGTTACATTGTAAATCTTTCTGTACTGTTTAGCATCAAAACAAGACTAGCAACTGTTTGGAACCCAATGCTTTTAAGTTATATAATATTGTAAAGAAGTATTGCCCTCGCACTTGACTGGAATGCGGAGATTTTCAAGAATTTGGCTCTCGTTTGCAGACATTTGTGGGTGAAACAAGCAAATCAAGGATGGAGCAAATCTGTTATAATTTCTTTCACCCTATAAAAGCCTACTGTATCATATTTGATAGGCCTCTAAATGATCTAAACGATCAAAAACATGTTGCACACAATCTACCGCACTCACAGTTTAGACTTTTTTAGCAAGTAAAATGTGTAATTGTACAAACGTCCACCTTCAGCTCGAGCTTCACGTGTCTTTTTGCTGTCAAATCTTTACTGATTTTTATCACACAAACATAAGAATAACTAGTAATATTTCCAGATGAACACTTACTGGACCGAAGCAGCTTGGCTTTACTTGATTATCCAGACATCATTATTTTAGCCTTAAATCTGATCGTCAGGCTTTTGAGAAACGTTTATTTGTTCATCTCTCAATCATTATTGTATTGCATTGCATAATATGTTTTGAAATTAAAATAAGCATTAAATATGATCGTATTAGGACATATTATTGGAGCTACAGAGTGACAACTGATATTTATATGCATTTTAGGTAAGTATCTGCTGTACTGTGTTATAAAGATCTCATTGATTTACATTACAAGCATCAGTATTGCATTACATTTTGTCCATATAAATATCAGCATCTGCAGCAAATTGCATATTTTTGCTCACTTTGGGCTTCTGAAAAAAACTGAGCTGTTTTTCCTCCTTATTCTCACTATACCAGACAATATGAGCCATAAAAGCCTGATGAATCAAATATGATACTCAACAAAAAACACACGCAAACTTTTTTTACAAATATATT